GGAGGCATTGACACCAGGCGCGGGCTTGCGCGCCTTGCCCCGGGCTCCCGGGCCCCGTGTGGGAGCGGAGATGTGCACCGTGCTGCGCAGTCTGGCAGAGTAAGCGTTCGCCCTGGGAACCGGGGGCTGCAGGAGATTCCCTGTCCGGGGCCATTTCTCAGTGCTGGCAGGTGGCTGCATGTCGGGGCCGGGCAGGGGAGCCCTGTCGACGGCCCCGTGCCCCGTCCCAGAGGTGGCTGCACGTCGGGGCCGGGGAGGGGAGCCCTGTCGACGGCCCCGTGCCCCGTCCCAGAGGTGGCTGCACGTCGGGGCCGGGGAGGGGAGCCCTGTCGACGGCCCCGTGCCCCGTCCCAGAGGTGGCTGCACGTCGGGGCCGGGGAGGGGAGCCCTGTCGACGGCCCCGTGCCCCGTCCCAGAGGTGGCTGCACGTCGGGGCCGGGGAGGGGAGCCCTGTCGACGGCCCCGTGCCCCGTCCCAGAGGTGGCTGCACGTCGGGGCCGGGGAGGGGAGCCCTGTCGACGGCCCCGTGCCCCGTCCCAGAGGTGGCTGCACGTCGGGGCCGGGGAGGGGAGCCCTGTCGACGGCCCCGTGCCCCGTCCCAGAGGTGGCTGCACGTCGGGGCCGGGGAGGGGAGCCCTGTCGACGGCCCCGTGCCCCGTCCCAGAGGTGGCTGCACGTCGGGGCCGGGGAGGGGAGCCCTGTCGACGGCCCCGTGCCCCGTCCCAGAGGTGGCTGCACGTCGGGGCCGGGGAGGGGAGCCCTGTCGACGGCCCCGTGCCCCGTCCCAGAGGTGGCTGCACGTCGGGGCCGGGGAGGGGAGCCCTGTCGACGGCCCCGTGCCCCGTCCCAGAGGTGGCTGCACGTCGGGGCCGGGGAGGGGAGCCCTGTCGACGGCCCCGTGCCCCGTCCCAGAGGTGGCTGCACGTCGGGGCCGGGGAGGGGAGCCCTGTCGACGGCCCCGTGCCCCGTCCCAGAGGTGGCTGCACGTCGGGGCCGGGGAGGGGAGCCCTGTCGACGGCCCCGTGCCCCGTCCCAGAGGTGGCTGCACGTCGGGGCCGGGGAGGGGAGCCCTGTCGACGGCCCCGTGCCCCGTCCCAGAGGTGGCTGCACGTCGGGGCCGGGGAGGGGAGCCCTGTCGACGGTCCCTGTGCCCCGCCCCAGAGGTGGCTCCACGCAGGAATCCCGTGCGGTTTGGGCCAGTGACTGACCTCTTGTCCCTGACCCATTTGCTTGCTCCTCAGGACCCGGCTCCCACCAAGAGGAAGTTTGAGTTCAGCAAGGAGAATGCAGCCCCTGCTCGGAAACCGGACCCCAAGGCCTCTCACCCCGCCCAGCCAACACCCAAGAAGCCCAAAGGTGAGAGGGGGCTGGGTGCCAGGGCTCTGTGGTTCTGCCCTTGGCTCTGGGAGGGGAGCGGGGGCTAGTGGTTGGAGCGGCAGGGCTGGGCGCCAGGGCTCTGTGGATCTGCCCTTGGCTCTGGGAGGGGAGCGGGGGCTAGTGGTTGGAGCGGCAGGGCTGGGCGCCAGGGCTCTGTGGATCTGCCCTTGGCTCTGGGAGGGGAGCAGGGGCTAGTGGTTGGAGCGGCGGGGCTGGGCGCCAGGGCTCTGTGGATCTGCCCTTGGCTCTGGGAGGGGAGCAGGGGCTAGTGGTTGGAGCGGCGGGGCTGGGCGCCAGGGCTCTGTGGATCTGCCCTTGGCTCTGGGAGGGGAGCAGGGGCTAGTGGTTGGAGCGGCGGGGCTGGGCGCCAGGGCTCTGTGGATCTGCCCTTGGCTCTGGGAGGGGAGCAGGGGCTAGTGGTTGGAGCGGCGGGGCTGGGCGCCAGGGCTCTGTGGATCTGCCCTTGGCTCTGGGAGGGGAGCAGGGGCTAGTGGTTGGAGCGGCGGGGCTGGGCGCCAGGGCTCTGTGGATCTGCCCTTGGCTCTGGGAGGGGAGCAGGGGCTAGTGGTTGGAGCGGCGGGGCTGGGCGCCAGGGCTCTGTGGATCTGCCCTTGGCTCTGGGAGGGGAGCAGGGGCTAGTGGTTGGAGCGGCGGGGCTGGGCGCCAGGGCTCTGTGGATCTGCCCTTGGCTCTGGGAGGGGAGCAGGGGCTAGTGGTTGGAGCGGCGGGGCTGGGCGCCAGGGCTCTGTGGATCTGCCCTTGGCTCTGGGAGGGGAGCAGGGGCTAGTGGTTGGAGCGGCAGGGCTGGGCGCCAGGGCTCTGTGGATCTGCCCTTGGCTCTGGGAGGGGAGCAGGGGCTAGTGGTTGGAGCGG